GCGCGAAAAGCAAAACAAACATTTTATTCCCCACTGAGTTTTAAATCTAAAGTATGGCCAGCAACATTATGGATTTAAGGATGGACGACATGACAGGACAGATGCAATTTGCAAAATGTGCCGCGCATCTGTAAATACGCGGGCAGTATGACTAATTTGATATCTCACTTGAAGCGGCGCCACGGTGTTGTTGTGGAAGCATCTTCCAGTGTTTCTGCATCCCCGGCTTTCGCACTGCTTCAACCAGCTCCAAAAGTGGTGAGAAAAGCATTGCAAGTTTTTTTTTTTTTCCATGCGCAACAGTTCTGCTCGCTCTACGCCAATAACGAATGCTATTGCATTGTTCATCTGCAAAGATATTCAGCCTAGTGTCACGGAGAACGAAGGTATTAAACACCTCCTCCTGTTAATTTTTATTTAATTATAATAATAATAATATTAATAATAATAATGATAAAAATAATTCGGTGGCACAGTGGGTAGTTTGACCACCTCACAGCAAGAAGATTGCTGGTTTGTTATATTTTTATTAGCCTGTTGTTTACAGTGACAGTGATGTTTCAAAGCAGCATAACACTGCTAGTTCACAACCTTAAGTTTTGAATAATCAGTGGCAAAATATATCTTTGTAAAACTTGTTTTCATAGTTGAAAAGTTAAATCACAATTCTTGTTGTGCAATGCTAAATTTATTTATGTTGAAAGAGTGCAAATATATACATATTTTTTTAATATATATTGCACTTATACATTCTGTTTATCTTGAAAATACTTAAATAATATGTGCTATATGTTCTAAAATGGCCCTCTACTGTAAACTGACACTCTGTCTCTGAGAGAAGAGCCAGTTTGTAAAAAAAAAGTTTTGGTTTTGCTTGGTTTATAAATAATCAAACTCATTCAATGGCACAGCATCCTCTTTCACATCATCTCATAAACTTGATCTAATTAGTTAGTGCTGAAATATCGCATCGTATCGTGATATGGGTGTGAATCGTATCGTGTTGCATCGCAATATGTCACAAATGTATCGCTAATATATCGGATCGTATTCTTTGTATCGAGATGCGTATCGGATCGGCATTATAGCTTAGATGCCCAACCCTAATTTCATTACATTATACATCTATTTAAAAAAATTTTTTTGCATGCAAACATTTCCATGTATCAGATTTCTATGTAAGATCAATGGAAAATAGCAATTATCCAAATAATTTCCTATGGTCAAAATCAACTCCTGCCCTACATTTACTCTTATATAAAAGGCCATTTCACTTGGATAAATGAGAAAATAAGAAAAGACGATCACAATCTACATTTACATCCTTTCCATGACAGCTTTATAAGTGTGGATGGTAGGTGGGCTTTGCACTGAAAAACTGTGTACAAAAGTGACTGATTAGTCAATTCACACCGTTGTCATAAATGATTGCTGTTTCATGCAAGCATGTGGAATTTTTGAGACCAATTCATGTGGAAAGTGAAAGACTGAGAATAAATGCAGAAAATAAAAGGCATCTTTTCACTACATGCAAAACAACTGTAGCTTCATGTGTACTTTAGCTCACTAGGGTGCGTCATAGACGCCATGGAGATGCAATTCATGCCTGAAAGACAATGAGTGAAGTGCTGGCTGTTTGTTCTCCTTTACTATATCAATAGTGATGTGTGTGGTCCTGACTGCATAGATAAATACAATTTCACTGGAGCTGCATGTTTAAAACATGCAGCATGATGTGGTTTCACCCTTTAGCCCTATTAACGTCTGGCATTAAGGTGCATTTTGTTCAATCTGATCACAGGTGTACAATGCTAAACACGGGTTTAAATGGGGTCTAAAGTGTTTTGAGCTTATCCACTCTTGACCTCTTTCCAGTAAAAAATGCATTTTAATGATGGTTGAATGCCTTCAAACAGCCTCAAAATATCGCTTGATTATGACCCGAGTCTTAAATTATAATGTCACATGCTAATGAAGTGTGCTGTGCTGTGTTACTTTATTCTGTTAAACACAAAAGAAGATATTTAAAAATGCTGGAACCTGGCAACTTTCCTAGTAATGTTTTTTATTATTATTATTATTATTATTATTATTATTTTAATCTACTATGGAAGTCTATAGGTGCCAGCAACCAGCATTTTTAAAAATAGTAAAAATGTTGTATTCTCATAAAAAAGTTTTAAAGCAAAAACATGGTCTTATTTTACTTGAACAAACTGACTCTGCTGTCCAATTATCCACAGACTAATTACATGCTTTGAAATGGAACAAATACACAACGTGATCCTAAATGAAATGTAGATTTGTTTATTGTAATGCACTCAAGCATCAATTTTGTGTTTGACCCAAGTATCAGCTGTCGGCATGAGTTTAAAGTTTTCTTGCTTAATTAGAAATTATTCTAGCTGAAGTCATTTCAAAATGGGATTTATCAGCCTAAAAACCTTCTCTCTTGCAACACTCCTGATTTTAGTTTTTTGAACTCTTTGGTGTCACAACACCTAGAATGAATGAACATGTCTTTTAACTCCAGCACATGATCAATGATTTAGAGGAAAAACCCTTTATAGACGTGTGTTGTGTTACCCTAACTGACGCTTGCTACAAGAACATCTCTGATCCTCCATTACTCGCACTCTCTTGGCATTTTTATTCTGTTGCTGACGGAAAGAACCTGAACAATGGTGTCACAACATGCTAATTGCAGACTGATTGGTAGCTTGCTCTGGTCAAACACAGACTCTGATGTGGGGGGAACGGGCTATTATTGTTGGTCGTGTCTGAGCCCAAAGCCCAGAGGTCACAATCTGGGAGGATGCCAGAGATCAGAGACTTTGAAGACAATGGGCACATGATGACCCACTGCTGTAGATTATCCTCATTCAGTGTAGACTCCAGGGCTCATAGCGAGGGGGTTTACTGTAATAGCCCGATTAAATTCATTTAACCTGAAGTTCTGCACAGGATTTTAGTAATTAAGAACAATTGTGGTGGTTCCTGCAGCTCATTGAATGCATGATGAGATTAGCGTCAAACTTCTCTTGATATTCATTTGTTTCCGAGTAGTAATAAAATACAAATGATACAGAATTTTTGACACACAAACAATAATTTTGAAGTGTTTTTTTGATCTCTCTATTTTAGTGTCAATTATTTATTTAATAATTATGTGGTGAAGGCTTCATTAACAATAGTTAGAGAAACAGAAATGTCTATTTTATTATTTTATTTTATTAGAAATCTATCAACTGAATTTTATGTATTATCCATTATTATTTATGCTTCATTATTATCAATATTTACTAGTTTATTCATTATGTTTCCTTTAGCTTAGTCCCTTTATTTATCAAGGGTTGCCACAGTGGAATGAACTGCCAACTTACCCAGTATATGTTTACATAGTGGATGTCGTTTTACACTGAGCCACTGTATCGTCTCCTACTGTTTTATTCATTTCAGTAAATCTTTACACTAGATGGATCATCACTCTGAATCAACTTTTTTTTTTTTTTTAAATCTGTTGAACAAATGATTCAGTGATGATTGCATTTTTACCAGTTGCCTGTCACCACCTATTGTAACGGTAAAGGTGAACTGATAAACTTCAGAAGCATTGCTACTTTCAAACTGTAATTTACTCCATTTAGATTGCCAAACTCAAAGCTGTTATTCTGGTATAGCTGTTATAATTTAAATGCCTTTTACACAGAATGACAACTGCTATACATTATTATTATATACAGTTAAAATTATTAGCCGCCCTGAATGATTAGTCCCCCTGGTAATTTAAAAAAGACTTATTGTGTTTCTGTCACTCCAATATGTCTGTGGACACTCTGTACATACACACAGTTCTGTCCAAACAGCTCACAAAAGGTCTTTTCATCATAGGTGCCCTTTAAATCACAGCACAGATTTCAGAAAAAAAAAAAAAAAGAATTTCCATGTTGCTGTAAATAAATCGATGTGCATACGGAAATATTTACTTCCACAACAATGGTCATTGTGATAAACATCAATATTATTTAATGTAGAAACCAAATATATGTGTATATATATATATATATATATATATATATATATATATATATATATATATATATATATATATATATATGCAGAGAAAGAGACAGTGACTTCCCCAGAAGTTTCACTAATAGTAACCCCTGAGAGCAGAGAAAGCATCCCAAGAAAATGTAGTGTCACATGCATTTCATTTGATGTGTCTTAATTTCTCAAACTAACTGCTACACCTCTATTTCACTGTTTGCTTTAGTGTGGCCCTTATACAAAATCCATTATTTTCTCTCAGCCTCAGTTTCAAGTAATAGTCCCAAAGCAGCCAATGAATGATACATAACCACAGACAGCTGTGACCCGGGTTCAAATGCTGTTTTGCGATTTCTTTCACTGTAATTACACTGGTTATTAGAGCTAGTAGCCCTAAAGAACTTTGGGTTACAAGTCTTGACTTGCACTTGTCAGAATTAAAGCTTCACTATACCAGTGTGAAAAGCCAAATAGCAACATCAGTGGACAACTCTGAGGGATGTTTGCTCAAAAATCAAACAACTAAACAGAACATTTGGTATCCGCATTACTCCACAGGGCTTGGTAGGTTTACTGGGGTCAATGCTTGGTGTGCACAATACATATTCAAAACCGAAGCATTCTGGGATAACACATGGTCTTCACGCCCAGGCCCATTTGCTGTATTTTCGGATGACGTAAGTGTGGATGGGATGCTGATTATGTTTGAATGTGGAATGCATGATTTGTTTCAGACTGTGAGAGGTCGGGTTCTCTATAGATATATTGACTTTTCACTTGCCTCATGTTAAATTGCTATCAGCACGACCTCTATATGGTCTGTTTCAGGGCTTCGGGTTACAATCTGGTTTCAGCAAATCTTGTAACTTGACTTTATCAGCAGTTTTTTAAAACATGCGTGTTCTTCCAGAGTAGTGTACTGATGTGTTTTTCTCACTCTGTTTTTTCAGGGCCTTATTTACATATGAGGGAGTCAGCAACAATCTCAAACTCACAGATTCAGGAGGTAAGAACATTTTGTTTATCATTTAACTCTTGAAAAGATTAAATTGCTAAATTTCCCATAAAGCATGATACATACAATTTTATTTTACCTTAAAATATTCAAAAACCACAAGAAAAGTTTTATGCACTCACCGGCCACTTTATTAGGTACATCTTAGACCCATCAGAAGACGGGGACACTGTACTCATAAGTCATAAAATCATACTCAGCTACTCAAATTCTTAGGTAGGCAGTGGCATTGAAACAATGCTCAGTTGGCACTAATGGGCCCAAAGAGTACCAAGAAAATATCCCCCACACCATTACACCACCACCAGCCTGAAATGTTGATACAAGGCAGGATGGATCCACGCTTTCATGTTGTTGATGCCAAATTCTGACCCTACCATACAAATGTTGCAGCAGAAATCGAGACTCATCAGACCAGGCAACGATTTTCCAATCTTCTATTGTCCAATTTTGGTGAGCCTGTGGGAATTATAGCCTCAGTTTCCTGTTCTTAGCAACCAATGTGGTTTTCTGCTGCTGTAGCCCATCTGCTTCAAGTTTAGACGTGTTGTGCATTCAAAGATGCTCTTCTGCATACCTCAATTGTAACAAGTGATTATTTGAGTTACTGTTGCCTTTTTATCAGCTCAAACCAGTCTGGCCATTCTCCTCTGACCTCTGGCATTAACAAGGCGTTTGTACTCACAGAACTGCCGCTCACTGGATATTTTCTATTTTTCAGACCATTCACTGTAAACCCTAGAGATGGTTGTGCGAGAAAACCCCTGTAGATCAACAGTTTCTGAAATACTCAGACTATCACTTCTGGCACCAACAACCATGCCACGTTCAAAGTCTCTTAAATCATCTTTCTTCCCCAATCTGATGCTGGGTTTTAACTGCAGCAGATCGTCTTGACCATGTCTATATGTCTAAATGCACTGAATTGCTGCCAAGTGATTGGCTGATTAGATATTTGTGTTAACAAGCAGCTGGACATGTGTACCTAATAAAGTGTCTGGTCAGTGTACATTTAGCTGACATGCTTACATTATTCCAAATGTTTTAAAGAATGTAAAATTTAGAGAAATAGGCAATTTTAACTAGTGACATGGACCATGTTATTGTGCAGCCATGCAAATAACATCATACACTATGATTTCAAGATTATAGTTTTATAGAAACGTAAAACACCAAAGATGCTTCAATATGTTGTGTTTTATTAGACTGCACAGATCAGCTTTTTACCAAAACCCTAAAATGTATTTAGTTTCGTACAATTGTGCTGCTTCTTTTGCATATGATCACGACTAGATAAAAAAGAAGTCATTTGCCATTTGGGATGCAGCTATACTGTAGCTTTAAGAACTATACTATTCATACTCCTACACTGTAAAAAATACTGGGTTACACACAATTCCTTCATGTTGCCCTAACACAAATTGATTAGGTTAACTTAATTGTTTTGACTAATTTAAGTGTATTTAACATAAAACTATTAAGTTGTCCCCCAAAAAACTTAAGAATCGTGTTGGTTCAACTCACATCAAATAAGTAGTTTGTACAGACAGCAAAAGTCATTTTTTTTGAGTGTACATACATTTCTTGAATTGGAAAAATCCACTGCTTTTATGGAAACTCAAAACTAGGATCATTTACTGACGCCATCAGCTTCTACATATTGTCCTGAGCGTGAGCAGGGCCCATGGCACCAGCACTGCATTTTTGAAATGCTTAATAAGACAATAAGTGGAAAAAAATACTTCCAGAAGCAAGGTCACTGCAAATGTAGGCAGTAACTGTTGTGCTCTATTTGAGTCGCTTTTAAAGCTCAGTCTGAGGGCAATCATGCAGCATTCGCATGTGAAACGCTCCTAAACCAGAGAGGATTACCAATTAAACCAGAAACTGCCAACACCATTTCTCCTAATGTCAGATGAAGCAGAAAATTCTCACATGAGAGAAGGAGAATAAACCAGGACCACTTATTACATCAGACCTGTCCGGTTCTCTGCAGATTATGATGATAATCTGGTGAAAGAATGCAAGTGTTTAGTGGCGTTTACTTTCATGTGGTCATTAATTCATAAAGATACTTTAATTTTTCTCTGTAATTCCTCCCTTCCTCCTCGGTTTGTCTCTCTCTCTCTCATCTGCCAGCTGGAGGTTTGACAGAATTGGTTGGGAAATTTCACAACAGCAGGCCCGTGTATGGCCTCTGCAGGGTGGGACTGACAGAAACAGGACAACCGCAGATCGTCATGGTCTGCTGGGTAAGTTCACATGTACAATCTGTACGTTTATATACAAGGAAAAAATCTCTACCATTTCGTTTTTTCATTCTTTTGGGGAGTTTCAAACATGTGTAGCTCTTATAACAAAAACTTCTGGATGAGGTCATTTTCCCTTGCTCTGACTGGATGTTTGAACATCACACCTAGCTCCCATTGGATGTTGCCATGGGGTGTGATCCTCAAGTGGTTGCTGATTGGCTGGAGCTGCCACATCATTAAAGAGTCTGTGTTTAAGCAATGGATGTGAGGCTCCTGTTGATGAGACGTGTCAATGGCTTCACTTCACAAAAGAGCTTTGACCTTCAGACTTTTAACTAAAGGAGCTCAAATACAGCTGGAGAGAAGCGTTCTGGGAATCTTTCTAATATCCATCTTGGAGCTGGTTGCTGAGGTGATAAGTGGGAATGTTGTGTTTGGGGTCAGAGGTGCCATCTGTAGCCAGTCAGGCATTGTATAGAGGAGGGGGAGAGTGGACATTCTTGTGAAGCAGACTGGTACTGAGACACATGCATACAGTACACACCTCTGGCTCCCCAAAAGAGAAGTTGGTTACAGATTGAAATAGTTCCTGTCTTCCTGTATTTTACCTCAGTGTTTTAAAGACTTAAAGTTTTTTACTATATAAATTTACAGCTTAAAGATTTGTTTTGATTTCAAGTATATGTGACCCTGTACTACAGAACCTGTCATAAGTATCAATTTTTGAAAATTGAGACTAATATATGTCACATTAAATCTGAATAAATAAGTTTCCTTTGATGTATGGTTTGTTAGGATATGACGATTTTTGGTCCAGATACAACTATTTGAACATTTAAATCTGAAGGTTCAAAAAATCTAAATACTGGAGAAAAAGCCTTTCAAGTTGTAAAAATGAAATTTTTTGCAATGCATGTTACTAATAATTTTTTAAAGTTTGATGTATTTTTAATAGGACATTTACAAAACCTTTCATGGAACATGATCATTACTTCATATTATAATGGTTGGTTTTTGGAATAAAAGTACAATTTGACCCTTACCTGACAAAAGTCTTGTCGTTGATCCCAGTTGAAAGAGCAACAAATAATAACTTGACTTCTAGTTGATCATTTTGAGCTAAGTGACAGACCTTCTGGAACCTGCAAGGACTCAAGATTCTCAGAGAAATCAGTCAAGTTTGGTGAAGGAAAAATCATGGTTTGGGGTTACATTCAGTTTGGGCGCAAGCGACAGATCTGCAGAGTGGATGGCAACCTCTTCTTCTTATATTTCAGCCTCCACATCAACGTTCCTGAAAGTAAAGAGGGTCAAGGTGATGAATGAGGCATTTAAGATGAATCCAAAGAATCTTGATGAACTCTGGGAGTCCTGCAAGAACACTTACTTTGTCATTCCAGATGAGTTATTTGAGTCATTGCAAAGATAAATGGATGCAGTCCTCCAAGCTCATAGGAGTCAAGACACAATATTAGTTCTTTTTCCACAGCACCATGACTTTACATTCTATACTGTACACTGTTTTTGTTAAGTGGCAAGACTTGCAAAGTCAGACCTTAAGGTCCTAATTAAATAATTAAAAATCAAGGCATGATCATATTTAATTTTGGTAAAATAAAGATAATCTCGAGGCCTTTGCCTTTCCTATAAGCCACTTCTGAAACCAAATGATCAACTAGAGGTCAATTTATTATTTGTTGTTCCTAAACTTAGATTTTAACCACTTAGATATTACTTAGTTTTGACTATTGCCAAAAACATGCTTGTGCAACATAAGATTGGTTTTGTGTTCCAGGGTCACACATGTTGCTATTTTGACCTTGTTAATGATCAAGCAAAAATACATTAAGCAGTTTTCAATTTTGATAGTAATAAGAAGTGATTGCACGGAGGATTATGTAACACTGAATAAAGGTGCAATGACATGTACTTTGATAGAAGACCTCATTTTTTTCACACATGATCTGACCACCAGTTGACCTCCACCCTCCTGGAAGTCTTAAGATGTGCTGGACTGAACAGACAGATAGTCTTGTGCTCCCATTATCAATACGAGATAAAAAAAAAAATTAATACAACTCTTGATGGAAGTAAACTTTGTGACATTGCAATTTGTTGAATGTACGCCATAATCAATGTCACAGATGATCCTAAAAATGGTCACTATCTGACCCTGAGAAGAACCATGTTCATTAAAAGGCTTTGAAATTTGCATTTTTTGTTGAATGTGGAGTGTAATTTAAATGAAAACACTCAGGGCAGAACAAAAATGAGCTCCTACACCTTTTAAAAATACAGCTAACAGTGTTTTGTTTTTATCACAGCTCTGCCAGTGTGAGTAGTTGACTTCAAGCGCATTTAGCAATAGTGCAACTCTCACACTGATTGCCCACTGAAGCTAAGCAGGGCTGCGCCTGGTCAGTACCTGGATGGGAGACCACATGGGAAGGCTATGTTGCTGCTGCAAGTGGTGTTAGTGAGACCAGTAGAGGCAGTGGCGTAGCGGACGGGCCCGCAGGGCACGCACCGCGGGGGGGCCCCGCGTGATTAGGGGGCCTCATGTCGTCGCGATTTTCAATAATTGAAAATTCAGGAACCGCAATAATCAAACTCTTGGGAACAACTGTGGTCGGAACCAAAGTTTACAGGTCTGTGTTCTCTGAACACCTCTCAAGCGGTGGACTACTTCATTCTGATTGCTTGCCGCCGAACCGCGTCATAGCCAATGAAGACGCGCCGCTGTTTCTCGCCGCCGGTTCTCGTTAAAAAATTAATGACTTCTGGCTACTTTGACGCTCTCGCCGTTTTTGGTTTGTGATCGCTCCTCAGTTTGTGAAGAATTCCCCGCGTTGTCGATCCACCCCGCCTATTTTCCCCGCTCCTCAATTTGTGACAGATATATACACTAGATATCGTATAGGGACCCTGAGAATGCGTCAATAGCGCCGCCACATTGGTACAGTGCTTCCAGGACAAATGTCATTCAACCGCACTAGTCAAGACAGTGTTATTACGTGAAGATGCGGGACTTTAGCGCTGTCTACAAGTGTAGTAACGAGCAAACAAAGAAAACAAAGCACAAAGGCAGAAAACTTCATAGGTAATATTAAGTTTTTATCTGATTTTGTATGTTCTGAACGTTGTGCTAAACAGGTAACGTTATTGATGATAACAGTCACTTACTGCATTAATCATAAGGCAAAGCAGCTCCAACTCGCACTAAATACTCGGCTTATGCTAGTTTTGTTGAATAAAATCAGCAAACAATGCAAAATAAATATGACAACGAGATGCTGCGCTGCCAGAAACGTGTATTAATGTCGGCTAGTGAAAGAGACATTCGGGGGATTCATTCACAAACGAATCGCTCCCTCCGTCAGTATGAGAAGTGAAAGCAGGAGAGGAGGATGTGTTTCAGGACACGGATTAGATCAAATTTAACAGCGAGGGTGAATAGTAAATTTCTGTACACGCAAACACAAGCTTTTTGTCAGGAATGCCCGTGCGATCAGTGATCCATCAATGTAGAAAAGTGATGTAAAATTATAATTTTCATTAAAAAAATTGCATACTAACATCCAGGAAAACTCCCGATCATAGATATATGTGTATATCTCTGTATAAGCACCCCCGCCCACCTTCGACTGGGGGCCCCGTCGGTGATCCCTGCAGGGGGGCCTCCGCATTTTGCGCTACGCCACTGAGTAGAGGGCACTCAACTTGCAGTCTGTGTGGGTCCTAATACCCCAGTATAGTGAAGGTGACTCTATAGTGTGTGCCATCTTTTGGATGAGATGTTAAACCGAGGTCATAACTCTCTGTGGTTGTTAAAAATCGCAGGATGTCCATCGAAAAAGAGTAGGGGTTTAATCCTAGCCAAATTGGCCCACTGGCCTCTGTCCATCATGGCCTCCTATTCATCCCCATATGATAATTGGCTACATCACTCTGTCTCCTCTCCACCAATCAGCTGGTGTTTGGTGTGCTGTCTAGTGCAATATGGCTGCCGTCGTGTTATTCTGGTGGATGCTGCACACAGGTGGCGGATTTTTGTAAAGCTCTTTAAGTGTCCAGAAAAGTGCTATATAAATGCAAGCAATTATTATTATTATTATTATTGTGAAGGGGGCGGGACATGTCTGTTACTGGAGAGCATTTGATTGGTCTGAAGATTTGATGAGAAAATAAGAGGTAACGTCAAAAAATGATTCAGAATTGACAAACTGCAAGCTTTGGATGTTTGTATGTATTTAATGTGAATTTTGTTACTGTTTTGGAGCACGCTGCCCTATAAATGTCCTTAAGAATAACATACTGATACTAACATCTAACCTTATTTTGATTCCAACAATGACTTTTTGGACAACTATAAAAAATCTCATGCAAATAAGTGTTTACTTCTAGTCCTCTAGTAGTATAAATGTATCTCTCTTCCACGTGTCCTGCAAAATCACATTTGCTGTCCCCAACAGACAGGTAACCAGGGGGTCACCCTATCACAATATGTGGACATTTGATTCCATGTTTGCGCAAATAAATACAGCTTTGGTGAATATAAGAGACTAGTTTTGAAAAACAATCTTACCAACCTTTTTATTCATGCTAGTGTGTCCATTTAGTTTCACATGTTGCATGTTTATATTTTGATTATTTGAAAGGGATAGTTGACCCAAAAATGAATATTTTCTCACTGTTTATTCAGATAAATCAATTTAAACCCTTTATGATTTTTTTATTCTGTTGAGCATTAAAGAAGATATTTTGAAGAAATCCGAAAACCTTTAAATTTTATTGTATATATAAAAAAAACAAATTGTATAGAAGTCAGTGGTTAAAGGTTTCCAGCTTTCTTCATAAATATCTTCTTTTGTATATTTTGAGTTGTAGAAAGTAACTCAAACAGATTTAGAACAAACGAAGAGAGATTAAATGATGACAGAATTTTTTTTTTTTGTGTGAACTATCCCTTTACACCTCCTAATTTTCCTCATGGGACTATAGGTTGTAGGTTTCTTTTAAAATACAATCTCTTTGTCTTCATTGTGCAGGTTGGTGACGGTGTGGATGAGCTTCGCAGAGCTGAATGTGCCAGTCATGTGCCTGCCATCAAGAACTTCTTCAAGGTAAATCAAAAAACAGTTGCCCACAACTAGATGCCTTTGTTTTGTCTTCATTCACATAATCGAGTTCTGCAGACATAGTTTCTCATAAATTAGGTATTTACAAATGAGAAATAAAAGCGGTATGAATGACAGTGTAGGAATCTTGAACAAACAGATTTTACAGCAGTTGAATAATTTTTATCTTGTAGCTGTTTATGAGTTGCGAAATGAATGACAGATTAAGATTGTTAGACATTTCTTATCAGATAATCTGATTCCTCACAATTCTTCTTTTTCTACTTTATTTGATTTATGTGATGTTATCTTCCTTTTCCTACACCGTCAGCTTGGAATTATAAGGTTCTATCTGCGTTCTGAATGATTTTGAGATATTGAGCTTTAAAGTTTTTGCATTCCATAGCAAACAGTATGTGTGTAACATTTGCTTTTTTTAAATAAAATGTAAACAACTTATAAAAAACATCATATAATGTAAATAAGTTGTCATTTAATAGGAATGTCAATAACTCAAAGAAACTTAAAGAATGTCAATTTTGACGAAGATGTCAGATAGAACCTTAATTCTAAGGTGACGAGACTGTAAAAATACTTTTTAATACACAGTTTTCTGTGTTTTTTATTTATTTACCATTGTGAATTGCATTATTGGATGTTAATCTGTCAACTTTTGATGTTGAAAATTCAACTCTAGAGTTTAATAAAGTGACTTTTTTTAAATATTATATTTTTATTTGACTTTAAAGCAACACAGAGCAAAACAGAAAGCAACAATTATAAAGACAGAAAAGAAACGGCAAACAAAACATAAAAAAGACAATAGACAGAAAAAGATTTTAAAACCATTGATGTATCCGCTCCTCCAGTTTTATTCATAGGATAACAATGTTACACATATATTTCTAAGCCAGTGGGCAGAGGCAATATGGTGATCTTGCAAAAAATGACAGGGTCATACCTTTAAACTGTTATCCTTCACATTTGACAGATTTTCAGGTGGCTTCGAAGCCAGCAATTCTATCAGAAAGATTGTGTCTAAGTCTCTCTAAATGTTAAGTGTTAATGTAGAGTTCAGGAAAGCCAGGATATAACACAGTGGTTTTGATTCATTTTTCCATAAACAAACAATCATTTTCAACAGCCATTCCATATTGGAAAGCTTTTTTAATTTGATGACTGAACACACAAAGTGAGTTCCGACCTAAAACAATGATTGCTGGATCAAAAAAAGACTTTTAAATTTCACTCCAAAACTGGCATGACCAAAAAAAGATGTCCTGAGGAACCCTCCGCAGGTTCACATTTGTTACATTTAGAGGGGATATGGGGTTTTATACCAACAAAGTGAGTTATATTGACATATTAGAATATTAGCATATATATTGACATATTAGCATAATATACAACATCAACCCATATAATATATCACTTTAAACTATTAAAAATTTTAATAAAAATCACCTTTTCTAACTTTTCAAGGTTAAAACTTGTTGAAATAAACATCAAGGTTGCATAATGCAATTCAGAAGCATAAATATAGGGGAAAACACGGTTCACAAAATACAGAAAACTGCTAATTTACAGATATTTTTACAGTATTACATTGCTACTTTCTTGAAAAATCTGATTTATCTTAACCTCTTTGCACACTCAAAAAACGTAATTGATTTGCATGTATGCATACTTCATATACATATGAAAGCAGCGATGTCAAGCAGTTAGTCAGTGTGCTTTTTAATAAACGAATACAAAAATGAAAGAGGCAAGTAAATGGTTAAAGTAAACTTGTGTCTTGTGTCTTGTTTTCTGCCCATTCATTTGAATGAAGGGACAGGATATGTAAATCAGCCTCTGACACACAAACTGAAAGCACAAACCTTCCCAACATGTGTACAGATGCACTCCTGTGTTTTATTCTGAGATTTCCCTCTTGTAAATGGTTTCCTTCCTTCGCTCGTATCTGTGAAGTGATGGCTAGCAGCTTGGTGCCAGCTCTTATTGTATTAAACTCTTCCTCCGGTGTCATGCCCTATTGTTCTCCTGAAGAACGAATTGTGCCGCTGACAGGCACCACGCAGCCCTACTGATAAAAGCAGAAATTATGTCAAGGGAAAGGTTAAAAGTGTTTGTTTTATGCGTTTTTAAATGATTGTTTTAGCATTAGTATCTCTTAGGAAGTTTTATGTATCTTAAGTACGCGTCTGTGGGTTTATTTACTTCACCACCCAGATGATGGGGCTTTAACACTTCCATATTTTATTAATTATTATTATTATTATTATTATTTTGGTTGCTTAAGATTGTTAAACGTACTTTATGTCTGGGATTTTGTCTGGGGTTTTGATTGCCTTATAAAGACATTGCCCGGTCAGCTCCCCAGGCATGCCAAGAATGCTGTTTATTCAATTCTCTGTGTTTCTTTCTCTCTTTTGAGATCGACAACCTTCATGACCTTGTATTGTGTCGTTTATCCGCAGTATGTGTGTGTGCGTCTGAAAAATGTCAGAATGAATGGATTACAAGTTTCTTTTATGATATTCCCATTTGGAGTGAAATCTTGTTGGGTTATTTCTGTGTTGATTGATGGTTGTTCAAGCTGATGAACTTTCATAAGGTCAGGAATGAAGTTTTATAGCGTGGGAGAGGCTGAGCCTCCCCCCGCAACCAACTAGAGCTTATACTGTATGGGACTGGACCCCGTTATAGCCATAAAATGAGACGGCCGGAGACAAGCTGTCACAGGCATTTACAGTGTTCTGTCTCGACGGTCCTGCAGTAAATTAATGATAACACTTTCTAAATTGGGATTGAGGGATCTGTGAAATCTCCAGCGTGTGACAAATCCACAAGTCACAGATGAAAACCTTTCTGATTCACAGACAGTCCACAGATGCCTTTGCCTATGTTAAAATAATTAGAGTTATGTCATTGTTTGCTCAGTTATTTTAAAAAACATTATCTTCTTTGTGGTCCATGGAAAAAGTAATAATTAACTTGAGGTTGAATAAATGCTGACAGAATTGACATTTTTAAGCAAACTATCACTGTTTTCAGCTGCAGTATGTAAGTTTGACACCCAGTGGTTGGACTAGGTATTGCACTCCTGGTTCAAAATGCATGCAAGAGCAGGATGCCAGATTGAGTACACTAACAGGAGTGTGCCTGGATATCGAGCCTAAAGGCTGATTTAAGGCTAATTAAATTTAAAAGGAACAGCATGCGATAGAAGAATTATTTTCCATATTAAAAGGAGTTTTTATTCTAACCAACACCTCAAATATATATATTTATTTCTTGCAGCTGAACAACAGGACAAACTGACAATGATCACCTCAGGTACACTGCTATGCTTTATTCAGTGTTAAATGCTAATGTGAGTTTGAATGTCATTTTACATGACATGTATTGCCATACTACTGAAAGCAGCAGCATATAGTTCACCTCAGATAAAATTAACTGTTTGAAATTAAACTTTAGAAGTGTGACTTAGTGCAACCCAACACCTATCAGTGATATCAGCATGTACATTTAACAATGTTCAAGAGGTTTAATATGTATGAATTAAAGTATAAACCTTACCATTTCACTAGAGTGCAGTAAGGGCATTATTCTGACCTCTGTTCTGAATAGCTGTATTTAAATTGTTGTCATGCTGTTTCTGGTGCAAACAGCCCAATTACGTATCTCTGAAAATGTCACATACATGTAGCATGTTGTTAGGACACAGGGTTACATTGTAACAGGCTTACTAGAGATGCGCGGATCAGCTGTAATGTCACCCGAATCCGTGGCTTTATAATAATCATCCACCCGCCACCCGCCCGCACATATAGTTTTATCTGATATATGTATCCACACCCGACCCGTACCTGAACGTCACTTTAATAATTTAACTCTTGGTTTTAGGCATGATGACCACCGTCACCATGGGTATTAACAGCAGATTCAGTGAGCTAATCTGAGCATCTCTGATAGTAAAATAATATGTTAATTGTAAACACTTTGAAATTTGTGGGGATGTCTAGGTGTCGGGCGTGAGGTGTCTGAATAACACAGCTAAGTAACGACTATGGACAAGGTTTCAGGCAGCCGATGCAATCGGAACCTATACCAAAGTTGGTGATCCGGGGGTGTTATAGAATGCTGAGGACCGGGTGGTGGGGGTTGGTGGGGATGAAATTACGAGAGTTTTCCGGGAGAAATAACAAAATGGGAGGGTGGTGGGAGATGGGTCTGAAATACGGGAAAAACAGGAGTGTTGGCAGGTATGGCCTAAATGGCAGCTATGTTACAGCATGTTTACTTGGCCTTTTTCTTGGCACTGTGCAAATACAGAATAGCATATACTGTGCCTAATTTCAGACGATTTCGCCTCACCTCCAAATTGCGGCCAGCCACACTGAATGAGTGTTTGCTCGCACCGCTTGATGTAGGAATGTACAAGATTCTCCTCACAAGGCGATGCAGTCATGGAAATAAGCAATCATGTTTCTCCCAGAACTATAGCAGATTTTCCTCTGATGACTCTACTAACTGATAGTTTGAACAGTACTCTTGCACTTCATCCATTATTTTGGGCGTCTTAACATCCCATTCTTCAAAGCTTACACTCTGCTTTTCACTGGTCCACTGCCATGTCCTGCTACATCCACCCGTGACCCACCCACAATTAATCATAATGTATTTTTTTATTACCCAACCTGCCCGCCCCGTGGATTATCGACAGCGCCCGCAGATATAACCGCCATCCGCGCATTACTACTGTCCACCTAATGTTTACGTTTGTAATATGTATGTTATTTGCTAACTAATATAATAACTCTGAATCTGCGTCTCATTTCGGAAGCTGTAACTGTCCACCGTAGGTCACATTTTTGGTTGTGGGCACATACTTTGAGAGCTTTCATGACTAAATGAATCAAATACATTGTTTTCCTTCAAGGCGATCCGGGCTGCTGAAATATAATTGACATAAGTGGCATTGGGGGGTAAAGGAACCAAAA